ACCTTGCCTGGCGTATGGGAGCTGACAGTTTTGTTCTGACTGCAATGGGGGATCTGAAATGGGGAGATCTTCCAGCCGGGGCAGAGATTTTAAATGGTCTATTGATAAAACAAAATCAATCCTGCACCCAAGTAATCAATTTTAAGATCAGTCTATTAAATTCTATGTATAAATTTCCTTCTAATCTCGCTTTGGGGCAGCTGGTTACGTTGCCCAGCAGCTCAGCCACAGCCACGCTGATGTGCTGCTGGACCTGTCTGCAGCCACTTCCCAGGTGGTCGATGTCTGCTCTCTGACACTTCATCTCGGTTGGTGTTTTGTCCATCTCAGGGGGGGAGGCAGTGCCAACATGCAATACTATGATTTTATATGTTCTTTCAACACTTTGGTAGCTGCAGCAGGCAGTTGAGTGGATCAGGCAGTGATACTTCACCGTGTTTTTAACCAGTAACATACTTTGATACCAGAAAACAAAACTTCTCTAACCATGCGGTCCTTCTTTGCACAGCCTTCTTGGAGTCTGTAGGCTTCCTGCAGAACCAAAAGATGCTAGGAGAGCAATGTTCTTGGAGCAGAGGATTTTCTTGTCCGAGGTGGTTTGTGTTGTAGCATTTTTCTCTCTGTGCTGTTAACGAAAGGACGTTACTTTTTAATAAAAAGGCAGGAAAAACATTTTTGTTGCATTTTTTTATGCTTCACGGTTTGAGTACTGCTGGAATGTGTAATTCCACTGCTTTGCTTATTCTGCTGCGTTTGCTGCTGCTCTCTTCCAGGTAAGTGCTTCAGGCATTGCCCAGTGCTGGCTGCAAACATACTGTGCCCTTCTCTTCAGAATCCCTCTTTGGTTTGCTTTGGTTTGTTTTGGTTTGGTTTGCTCCCAGTGTTTCTTTCCCTCGTGCAGAACACTGTAACATGCCCCAGATGATGCCATGCTGTGTCAGTTCATCATGCTTTGGTTTTAAAGTACTTCTCAGGTGCTTACTGTCATTCAGTGGGCTCAGAACTCTGAGTTAGAACAGTTTGTTGGCATGCTCGCAAGTTTCAGCGAGCTTCAGTTGGGACAAAATCCCTGTAGGTGATAGGTATATTTTAGCAGAGCCGTTGATACTGCTTTGGATGAAAAGCACTCGTCTGCTTTTATGCAGGTCATCACAAGGGTGAGCAGTCGGCTGCCACGCTGAGCTCTCAGGGTCACGTCAGGCTGGCAGCCCTTGCTGGGGCGCCACCGAGCTCTGTGTTAGGGCCAGCGCTCCAGCATCTCCGTGGATGCACCGGCACCGCGCATACGAAGTGATGCTGAATCGCTGATCGGGAGGAGCTGCTGTTGAGCTCAAGGGTGGAGAGTTTTTGCAGCGAGATCTGCCGGATGAACGCCTGGGAGCCGCCAGCCGGGTGGGCAGCAGCAGGAGCGCCGTGCTGCGCCGTGCTGCGCCGTGCTGCGCCGTGCTGCGCCGTGCTGCGCCGTGCTGCGCCGTGCTGCGCCGTGCTGCGCCGTGCTGCGCCGTGCTGCGCCGTGCTGCGCTGCGCTGCGCCGTGCTGCGCCCGCGTGGGGCAGCGCTGAGTCGGCAGGCAGCAGCGAGGGCTGCGTTAGTGAACCGGGAGGCCGAGGGCACGGTGACGCCCTGCGAGCTAATGAGAGCTTCCCAGGCAAGTAGTGAAGGGTGTAATAAAATCATTTATTGCATTTTGTGCAGACAGGAGTCTAGAAAAATGAATACAGGTAAAGCAGTAAAGCATTAACAGGGAGCATTCAACAGCTGAGGAGCCTCTCCTCCATTAATATCTGCACGGAGAACACAGGGTCTGTACTGAGGCGGCCTAATGCACAATAGTACTGAAACGGTCACAGAAATTAAATGCAAACCTAATATTCTTATTTTTTTTTCTTTTTGTTTGATTTTTTTGTTTGTTTGTTTGCAACCTGTTTTATTTACAAGGTTTTAAACTGAATTGCATTGCTCTGCACACAGATATTTCTAAAACAAAGCATACTCGGTCACTACATGTCTATTGAAGTATTGCACTTGAATAAAAGTCACTTGGATGGACGCAGAACATCTAGCTACGGTGATTAAAAGATTCTCGGATGAATGACCCGGTGATAACATTCATAACAAATATATTGCACATGTAGCACGGAAAGTGGTGTAACCAGCAACTTTCAGACCTGCTGCTCCTTGTGCCTTTCCCATCCTGCAGCCCTGGCAGGGGCCTGACCCCTCCTCGCCTCGCTGCGCCCCCCGGCCCAGGCAGCAGGTTGGGGATGTGGGACCCCAAGAGCTGAAGCTGCTGCACGTGGGGCAGCTGGGAGCTCGCGTTCCTGCTGCAGGAGGACGCTGCCTTCACCACAGCGAACAGCGGAAGGATGCTCCTTGGGGAAACTGAACACTCACAGAGGCCAAACGTGCAGGGCTGGGTTTGTAAACTAACATGCAGTGCTGTCTGCTACAACTGGCCCTCTCCAGACCGAAGGTGAGTGCGATCTCGCTGGGAAGCCAGCGCCTGTCCTGCTGCAGCCGGGTGCTGCCTGGCAGGGGTACGGAGGCGGCTGTGCCTGCAGCTGTGCCCTGCTCCTGCTGCAGGGCGAGGATGGAGGGATGCTTTTTTGCCTTTCTGCTCCCTGAAGGAGTCGGGGCTGTGAATGCGGTGCTGGTTGGTGCTGCTGGGAAGCGATGGAGCTGACCTGCCCGCAGAGCAGCGTGCCCCGGCCTGGCTTCATGCCTGTGCTGCAGAGATCTATCCCTGCTGCCCGAGGAAGGCATCTGCCATGCCCTGGTGCTGCTGCTGAGGTCGGGCTCTCTGCTCCATGTAGGAGCGGGCTGAGGCTGCAGGGCAAAGCTGGGCTGAGGGCAGAGGGAGACTGCATGGAGCGAAGCACCTTGCGCAGAGGCAGGGAGCAGCTGGAAGCATTGCAGGCCGAGCAAGGACAGTGCAGTGAGATGAGCAGGCAGGTGGGTGTGCACAGCCCCTCCTTGCCCAAGTGCTTCACATCATCCTGGGAGGCTGCAAACGGCACAGAAGCTGTGTGTGGCGGTGTGTAGGGGCAGAGCTGAACCCTAAGCTAAACCCGGCCTCCCCATCCCCTGACGCTGGGCACATGGGGCTGCTCTTCTGGCTCAAGCTGCTATCTGTCATCTATCCATTCATCGCAGCGGTCTGTGACAGCCCCGATGCACCTGTGCAGATTGCTGAGCTGCCATGGCTGAGTGCTGCCTGCGGCCGGGGCTGCTGCTGGAGAGATGGAGGCACTTTGGGAGTGGTGCAGACGTAGGAGCAGGGTACTGACAGGCACAGAGGTGCAGCTGGGGCTTGGGTTTGGTCCGGGAGTGTGTCCAAGGAGTCTTAAAGCCAAAAAAAAAAGAACCAACAAAAAGAAAGCAAGCCAAGAAAAGCCAAAAAAAAGCCCACAAACCACTTGTTTGCTATCTAAGCAGCCTCATATAGCTTTGGCCTGGAACTGGAGGAGTAGAGGAGCTCTGCAGAGGAAGAGGGCAAGGAGCTGTTCTGTGCGAGGGCAGGGGAGCAGCACTGTGCACGGGGCACAGAGCAGCCACAGCACTGCCGGGAGAGGGCAACTCTTAGCGGGCTGCACTTGGAGTGGAAGCTCAAATCTGCTGTGAAACGAGTTCAGAAAAGTCCAGTAATTTCTTTTCCCTGAAAACTTTTAAGAAGCTGAATTGAGAAGAGCACGAGCCCCTGACCTGGCCCTTCCCTGGACCCTGTGCAGGGGCGGCCATCACACCTCCGTCCCCACAGCCCGGTGCTAGCAGAGCCCTGCATCTCTCAGTATAGATATAGATCTCTATATATAGACTTCATCTGGTTCTATTAACATAAATATGATCACTTTAAAAATACACGTACTGTATTATGTACACTATGTACATGGGCCCTCGGCGCCGCTTCCTGCACGGTTCCTGGAACCGTTCACATTTGTTGAGAGCTCCTCAGTTTCTCTGAATGAGAATTGCTGCTGGGGAGAGGGGGGCGGCCCTGCGACCACTGCTGGGCTCAGGACTGTTTGGGGGGCAGCTCTGGGGCCATGGTGGGATGGGGGGACCGGAACGGGGCCGAGTGCTGCCCAGAAATAGGACAGAGGGGTCCCCGCTGCCATCCCGCACCACAGGGCCTGGCACAGGCGCTGCAGTGGGGCCGGGGCCGATCGGACACATTGCATATACTGAGAACCACCCAGAGCTGAGCGTTCCGGACCCCATGGCAGCACCTGTGCCTGGGGCCAGGGATAAAAGCCCCAGTGCACAGCAGGGTATGGGGCTGCCGGGACCGATGGTCAGCCAAAGCGGGGTCCACACAGCCCCCAATGCTCCCAGCATAGCCGTGGAGCTTCTGTGCCAGGCCCAGAGCCGGCGGTGCCTGGAGTTAGCAGCATCCACAGTCCCACAGCCCCGGGGCAGCTCAGGCTGACACTGCACACCGGTGGGACCTCTGCTCTGCTCCGGGCACCACAGCTCCGGGCAGCAGCTGCAGCACGAGCACAGAGCAATGCCTGGACAGAGGGGGTTGGGGCCAGCGGGAAGGGGACACACAGCTCCACCCAACCCGGCCGGGGCTGCAGTGGCACCGCTGCTCTCCAGCATCCCGCCCCACTCGGCTGCCCCCCACCCTCACCCCCTCCAAACCATCACAACTGCCTCTCGGTGAGCGTGGCCCACGGCCTCCACATGGGCGGTTGGGTCTGTCCGGGCCCAGCACGGTCCTTTCCAGGGTCGTCGGGTGCTGACGGAGGTGGGGAGAGGAGCATCTGGCGAGGAAAGCATGCTGGTGGCCTCTCTCTTCTCCCAGCACCTCTGTGCGGTGCGAGCATCAGGCAGCGGTGCCCAGCCAAGCTCTGTGGGGCGGCAGTGGGGCCTGGGGCCCATTGGGACGCAGTGGGCTCCTGCCCGGCCGGGGGCTGCGGGGGCAGCGCTGGGCTCTGATGCTCAGTCCGCAGAACACTGTATATATTTATATATAAACAAAGACAGCAGTGCTGTGACGTTGCAATGAGGAACAGCTGCTCAGGTGCTGGATGCTCCCGGAAGATCTGGTGCTGCAGTTCGAATGGAGAGGTCAGGGGCACGGCTGAAGGCAGGTGAAGGTTCTGTGCACCGGCTGCCATCGGGCTTCTCTCCTCCCTCCAGGAGCTCGGTGCGGGGTGGTGGGGCTCTCGGGGTGCGGACAAACCTTTCTCACGCCGTGTTTCAGGAGTAGATGGTGATGACCTCCCGGCCCCCGCCACGCACCAGCAGCACTCGGTCCAGGCGCTCTGTCAGCACCTCCAGGAACTCCATGTCTGTGCAGCCGTCAAGGAGGAACGAGGGGTGGAAACAGGGAGCCCGCAGAACCCACAGCCCCGCACCACGGCTGGAGCGACCATAACACCATCAGTCTCAGCCAGGCAGACTGTGGGGCAGGAGCTGCAGGGGGTATTCAGGCTGAACACTGGGCAGTGCCCTGCGATGCCTGCAAGGAAGCCCCCAGCCCCGCAGACCTTGAGGAGGGACTCTCAGCCCACCCCCAGAGCAGTAGGAAGGATACAGTTTTCATCCCCTTTCCGGTTGCGGGGTGGCCCTGGCATGTTGAGCAGGACCAGCTTGGCCTTCTGGGACTTCTTCACAATCACCTCGTTAAGCTTCACAGCCGTGTGCATCCTCCGCACGTTTGACTGGTTCCTGGGGAGACAGCACACGTGGGTGGGGGCTGGGCACAGGGATGCACATGGGACCACAGGGAGCAAAGGGCAGGGCTGGAGCCGGGCTGTGGCACAGCAAACCTCACCGGCACCAATGCCACAAGCAACCACCAATGGGTGCAAGGAACTGCCTTTGCACATGGGGCCCACGAGTGCCACCCCTCACCCCCCTGCTCCCAAAGCAATATACTTACAGGTTCTCCCACTCCCTGCCAGGATCACAACGGGGTGGGGAAAAAAGAGAGAGAAAAGAGGTGAGTGCCAGGCGTGCACCCAGTGTGCCCCAGCACCCAACCGCCACTCTGCACAGGGACCCCCCCACCTCCCACCCTCCCCGCTGTCAGGTGGGTGTGCAGGGACCCGGCTGCAGGCCCCTGCTCAGAGCAAGGAGGGACACGGTGACACAGCAGCAGCATGTGGGGCCATACGGCTTCATGTTGAAGAAGTCCTTGATGCCCTCGGGGCTGACAGGGCTCTTGCTCTTGTTCTTCTCGGCCACGGACTTCTCCTTGGTCCAGGTGAGATGCACCTTCTCAGGGCCCGACTCTGCCTCTTCAGCTGGGGACTGGGAGCTGCTGGAGAAGGTGGTGGCGTTTTTGTCGTGGATGAGCTGGACCTGTGGCAGAGCAGAGGCGTGGTGGGCAGGGGCTGTAGCAGCCGGTGTCCCCATCCCCGCCGTCCCCGGCAGGACACAACACGCGGTACCTCACCTCTTCCTCGGGCTTCTCCTCGCCGTCGCCCACCTGCTCCTCGGGGACGTTCAGGCGCAGGCGTGTGTTGGCTGGGTTCTTGCGCCGGATGGAGCCGCGGGACTCATCCGTGATGCTCTGGATCTGTGTGGGGTGGGGTCAGCGCACAGCGGGGCAGCATGGGGGCACGCAGCAAGGCCGGCTGTGGGGCTGTTCCTCACCTCCCGCTCCCGCTCGTTCTTGGTGAGGTGCATTTGCTTGAGGATCTGCGAGCGCTGCTCCATCACCAGCGTCTTCTCGTAGGTGTAGGCTGAGATGTCGCTCTCTTGCTGTGGGACAGAGGAGCGGCTTGAGCTGCGGGGCCCAGCCTGCAGCACAGCCCATCCTGGCCCCGCTCATCCCACTGTGCCTCCATGTCTGGATCCCCTGCATGCAGAACTCCGGGGAACGGCCCCAGCCCAGCGCTCACCATCTCTACCACCTCCACCTCCGCCGTGATGCGCAGGTGGTACAGGAATGTCGTCAGGTCCTTCTTCATCTGGATGCTGTTGTCATCCATCTGAGCCACCGTGAAGATACGCATCTTGCACTTGCGCCAGACCTGTGGGGGGGGAAAGGAGGGAGCTGTGGGCACCGTGTGGTGAAGGCTGCCCCAGCCCCAGCCCCTGCCCGCCATGGGGGCACAGTACCTTGTGGTGCCGCAGGAGGAAGGGCAGCAGCATGAGCATCCCTCCGTCGTGCACGATCCACCAGACATCGATGTGGCCCTCCGAGAAGCGCTCCTGGTTGCCCGGGAACATGGCCACGTTCTTGGCCACCAGCAAGGCCAGGTGCCCAGCCGTGGTCTCCCGCACCAGCTCTGGAGGGAAAGGGCCGCGTCAGCCAGCACCGCTCACGTCAGCACCCTGTGGCACCCATCCAACTTGCAAAGCCCTACCGATGAAGTTCCTCCAGGTCTGGTGGTCCTCCTTCTGGCGCCAGCTGCGGGGCCAGCCCACCAGCACCGTGTTGTGCTGCAGCCCACCCAGCCCACTGGACTGGATGAGGTGTGACATGCCGTCCCGCAGGTTGGAGGAGATCACCACCTGGCAGAAGCCCTTCACCTTCTCTGCTTCCATCAGGCGGCGGATGGACTGGCAGCGGGAGAGAAGGCATCAGGGACCGTGCATGGGATGTGGCCCCGCACAGCACCCGCTGCAGACAGCACCCAATGGGCCGGGGCAGCCAGCAGATGGGTGGGGTGCAGGGAGCAGAGCCTGTGGGGTGTGGATCGTAGGTGCAGAGCCCTGCAGCAGGATGGCAGCGTGGGATGGGGATGGGGGAGGCCCGGCTGTGAGCAGCACCGGCGCGTGGCTCTGTGCCGTGCCGAGCAGAGGGAGTCCCCGTGCCAGGGCTCTGACGGGCGGCAGAGCAGCAATTAGAGTTATTTACTCAGAGAAATTATAACATGTCTGCATGGGAGAGAAACTGTTTGCTTCTGAGGGCTTAATCTCATTAACGTGCCGCCTGGCTGGCGCGAGGTGCGAGGGGAATCTCGCTCCAGTTGGGAAGGTTCCTGCTCCACCTTCCCCTGCCTGCACTGTGGGGGCTGTGAGGAGTGTGGGGTGCTCAACAGAGGGGTTGCACAGCCTGGCAGCACTGCGGCCCCTTGCTGGCACCGTGCTGTGCTGTGCAGCACCAGCCAGGAGCCAGGCCCGTGCCCTGCTGGTACCTGGCATCACTGGTGCTCTGGGGAGGGAAGTGGGGGTCCCGCAGGTCCCACTGCCCGCACTGTGCAGTGCGCTCCCAGCAGCCCCGCAGCAGGGCTGGATGCACCCTGGGGCACAGCAGCTGGGAGGGCATGGGAAGCTCTCACCTCCTCGGCTCTCTGCGCCTGTGGGTGGTTGTCCAGGAAGGTCCCTTCCAGCACAGAGGCCACAATGGTGAGGCCCTTGCCTGCTTTGAGCTGTGAAGTGAAGGACAGGAGCTGTGGGTGCACCACGTTCTGCTCCTGATCCACACGGACCAGAACCAGCAGCTGGGGCCTGAAAGGAAGGTCCTGCAGTCAGCGCCCGCCGCCCTGATGGCTCCCGCTCCCCCCAACCCGCGGCCTCACCTCCAGTTCTTGGTGTGGGGGGGGCCCTCCTCCAGCCGCAGCAGTGCGTAGCGGGCGGCACTCAGCGACAGCCCCCGGATCCCATCACCCCATTCCTTCTCCGCCCTGTGGCACACAGCAGAGCATCACAGGATGTCCACGGCTCCGGCCGCTGGGAGCCCCGGTGGCAGAGCGCGGCCGTGGGCCCCCGGCACCTACAGCACCAAGGCGATGTGGGGACCCCCAGCCCTGCAGCCCCCGCCGGGCCCTTACCCGCGGTATTCGATGTACTTGTAGATGAGGCCAGCGATCAGCATGGCGACCAGCGCGTAGTACCAGGAGCAGATGAACATCAGTGCCAGGCACAGGCTCATACCCAGGAAGGAGAGGGTCCTGCGCAAGGCACCACATCAGCACCCCGCAGCCCTGCAGCCCCAGGCCCTGCACTGCCCACTGCTCACCAGTGGTAGTAGCGGAATCGGGGCCGCCAGTTGGGCGTCCGCAGCAGCGTCTGCACGGCACAGGCCAGGTTGACAAACATGTAGCACATGAGGAAGAACCTGCAGAGGGGAGCAGCTGAGCATGGCGCCGTGAGTGTGACACGGCACGGCCCCATGTGGAGCAATGTGAGGCTCCAACCCCCCCAGAGGCACCCGCCCGGCCACCGCCACACCGAAGGTGCTGCCTACATGGACAGGATGGGAGCCACCTCGTCCAGGGATGCGATCAGGATCCCAATCTCGCAGATGCAGGCGGTGAGCAGCAGAGCCCAGGTGGGCTCCCCGTTGGCTTTGCCATGGCCAAAGACCTGGGGTGGGGGAGGAAAGGGGCGTTAAGGACGCGGCAGCAGCTCCATGCGCTTCACGCTGCCGATTGGCCCCGTGCCTGGAGTTGGGGGCAAACACAGCCCAGCTGCTGCATTCACAGTCACGGTGCTGGGGAGCAGCCATCAGAGCCCCCCAGCCTGGCCGCTTTGGCACACAGACCCCCGTCTCCCAGGGGTACCCAGGGGCAGGGTCCGGGCTTGGGGTGGGGGCCGCGTGTCCGGGAGCATGGCAGGGCGCAGGCTGCGGTCCTCGTGCGAGCGATCGGAATGTGGCTGGCAGGGCGGAGGCGCGCGGTTAAAATTAGCCTGCTCTTCCCCGGGGGGAGCTGTCGGTTCGGATTTGGAGAGACGCAGTTGTGAGAACGCGTCTTCGGAGAGCAGATAAAACATTAAGCGGCAGAAGCTGGGGGAGGGGGATCCTGACCTTTCCCGACACTCTCCTCCCACCGACAGGTCGCGGACGAACCCACCGCAGCCCCGGTGCCCGCCCCATGGGGTGGGGGTCAGGCGGCCCGCCCCGTGGCTGCCGGGGGCACTGCGAGGGCTGCGCTCACCCTGAGGAAGGGCACGATCCCGTCCCTGGAGATGGCTTGCAGGAGGCGCGGGGCGCCGGTGAGGCTCTGCAGCCCGGCCCCGCATGTGGAGAAGAAGGAGCCGATAACGATGACCCACGGGGACGGCCACGCCAGGGTGCCCACCACCAGGTTCCCATTGACGGCTTCACCAAACCTGCAGGGCACAGATATCACCCACGGCCACGGGCAGCACGCGGCCAGCCCGGCCCTAATCTGTACGGCAGGGGGACGTGGGGCAGGGGCTTCCCACCCCCTCTGACAGGAGTGGGCCAATGAAGGCTGCGTGTGGCTCGGATCCAGTTTGTGTTGGTGCTGGCGACCCAGAAGTGTCACTGCCACGCAGCGAGCTGGGCTGCCCTACATACACGGCGCTGCCTGTTGACAAACAAGAGCTGCACACAGCCCGAGCCGCAGGGACCAGCAGTGGGGGGAAGGGGCACCCACGAGCCCCCAGAGCCTGTTGTGAGCTCTGCATCTGCCCTGGTGCGCAGCCAGGCATCCTCCCTGTGGGCATGCCATCCCCACCAGACCCAGAACACCACCATGTTACTCCAGTGGTTCCAGCTGCAGCATCCTGCTGCGTTCCCCACAGCTGTCTCTGTCTCCAGCCCTTCCCACAGCCCAGCTTGCCCCACACCTGCCCCACACAGCCCAGTGGCACTCACTTGTCACGCAGAACAACGCCCTCGATGCATGCCCCAAAGAGCACGACGGAGCTGATGTCTGTGGGGCGGTCAAGGACAGCCTGCAAGGTGCAGAGCCCCACACCGCCCTGCCCAGCGCTGGAACCCGTCTGTCCCACCAGACCCCAGCAGACCTCTTCCTGCCCTGCCAGCCCACCTGCCCATCCTCACCCAACCACCCGACCGAGCCCTGAAGGATACAGACTGCAGAAGTGGTGGCAATGGCCAGGATGGTGCCTGTGGGGATGGACTTCTGTGCATCCCGCAGGTCCCCAGAGCGATTGGAGCCAGCCATGATGCCTGGGGACAGAGGGCCATAATGTGGTGGCAGAGCCACAACCCTGCTGGTAGGACTGATCAAGCTCGGCTGTGCCAGGACCCAGACAGGCACAGGGACCCTCGCCCACCTCACATCCCATCAGCACTTTCCCACCTGACCTGCAGGCTGAGGCTACTATAGAATTAGGTACAAAACCCACTGTCTGACTTGTTTAATCAGCCCTTAATGAACTCTAGCAAGGTGGCAGTGGCTGCAGGGTCTGGTCATGGCTGGGACAAGACATGGTCTTTTCTGACCTTCATGCTCTGATCCTCTGGTGCCGTGGATCCGGCACAGCCCTGCCATGCATCCCTGTGAGCTCAGCTGCTGTGTGCACAGCAGGTCCCGCAGCGGGGACGCAGCTACCTGTGGCTCAGCCTACATTACTGACATGACACAAATCCATGCACCATCACACCATGCCATCAGCAAGTGCCAGGCTGGAGGCTACAAGGGGCAGCACATAGAGGGCACAGGGACGCACCCACAGGGCCATCAGCCCCAAATCCAACACCACCGGACCCAGCAGCGAGTGCCGAGATGGGACCAGCCTGCAGGGCTCCGGCTGAGCTCCCGCATCCCACGGGGGTCCCACAGGGCTCCGCAGCAGGACTGGGGCAGGGGAGGGCTCCTCCTCCCCGGGGAGCTATAAATACCGGCGCGGCGGCACGTCAGCACACAGCGAGGCACCGGAGCTGTGTGGGAGGACGGGCTGTGATCCACCTCCGCACAGCGCCGGGCCGGCGGCAGCGCACGTGGGCTCCGTGGGAGAGGCACAGCGGCACGTGTGAGAGGCAGCACCCACCTGTGACAGAGGGGAAGTAGATGCCCACGAGCAGAGTGAAGTAGGAGGTCATGTCACTGAAGACGTAAGGCTGGTCCATGTCCACAGGGGTGTCCGGGGGGCTGACAGAGGACAGCCCCCTCTTCTCCACGATCACACCCTTGGTGAGGTAGGAGCTCCAGAGGTTCTCTGTGAAGAGGCACGGCTGCTGTGAGGATGTGTCCGGAGCACAGCCTGCACCCACAGCCACCTCCTTGAGCCCTGCACCACAGAGGTGCCTGGCATCATCCCATCCCCACTGTGCCACGCAGCCACAGCACTGCTGGCATCCAGAGGGTGAGCAGCCCCAGCCCCTGATGGACCTCAGAAACATGCAGGCCTCAGGGGTGGGTGGGTGACCAGAGCAGGTGTGTCCCACTGCTGGCACTGTCCCTGTAAGATACTGGAGCAGCTGACGTGGGATTCCCGGAGCAAATAATTAAGAGGGTAATATAATTAATACTGATCAACACAGGTTTAAGGAAAGTGGATCGTGTCAAAGTAACTTGATAATGTTTTTGATGGGATTATAAGCATGGGGCTGATGTAACAGGCTTAACGTCCCTGTGCGTGCTGCCTTGGTCACAGATTGCAGCGAGAAACTGGAGCAGCAGAAAGCAGCCAGCACTGTTGGGCAGGGGCAGGCAGCATCTCCACAGCATCACACCGGGGCTTCCACCCTATGCTGTGCTCCTTGCCCACGTCCCCCAGACATCCCCAGGTGACAGCTGGGGCTGGCAGCCTCCACTGTCACTGCAGCTTATCCTGCTGGGAAAGGCACATTGCCCGCAGACAGAGCTGGAGACAGGGCTGCAGCCTGCCCCTGCCCTGCCCCTGCAGCACAGAAAGCCTCCAGCAGCCCCCAAGCATCCAGGACAACCGCTGTGTTCCCTTGGTCCCTAGGCCTGGCAGCTGCAGCCCCAAGAGCTGTAGCCTTGAGCACCAACACCCCAAGTGTGGCACAGAGCACTGACCTCCAGCACTCAGCCAAGGAATGTGAGCACCTGGGAAACGCACCAGCAGCTCCAGAAAGCAGGTCAGCAGCAGCTTCTCCCCATGCTGCCGAGGTGCTCTGTGCCCTGGCTGCCCTCCCAGCCTGGCTGCAGAGCAGCTCCTGCTCCAGTGCCTGTGCTCCAGCAGTAGCAGCAGCACAGTACCCCCAAGGGGCGATTACTCCACACTAAACCTCAGATCGATATCCTGCCTTCCAATGGCTGAGAGGAAACAAAGGGAGGATTTATTCCTCCCCAGCCTTTGAGCATCACTCAGAGCTGTCGGGCTTGCACCAGCTGTGGCTCACATGGCCACAGCACCGACCGAGTCCTGCAGTGCAGCCATTCCTGCTGCCTGGTGCACCCGAGGGCAGAGCAGCCCCAGGCAGGGCTCACCACGCTCCTCATCAGTGCTATATCAGGACTGGCTTTCTGCTCCATGCAGCTGTCTGCACACCAACCCTCTGCCAGCCCAGCAGAGCCGCCATGGCCCTGCTCATGCCTCCATCCCCGTCACACACCCACCTTGGATGAGGCCGCTGGCAGCTCCAGGGATGCCCTCAATCTCAGTCACGTTGTTCATGGTGAAATACTCATCACAGGTGGCGTTGAGGAAGCGGGAGGTGCAGAAGAGCTCCCAGAGCTTGGAGCCCACTGTTTCGTTGCCCTCCACCACCACCTTGGTGCAGAGGTCAAAGCCGTGCCGTGAGAGGGTCCTGTTGCCCAGCAGGCAGATCCTGGCAGGGGGGTACAGACATCAGCAGCACATCCTCAGCCCAGCCCCCATCCCATGGCACGCCGTACTCACGGGAAGCTCGGTGGGTCGAAGGCCGACTTGATGACACCGGCGTAGATGGCGAGGATGGAGAGGATGACACAGCCCAGGAAGACCAGGGCAAATTTATTGACGTATTTGACCCCCACGAACACCACGGTAGCCATGCAGGTCAGGACGCAGGTGCCATAGACGCGCATGTTGTTGAGCATCGCAGCCGCCTCCCCGCTGGCATCCTCTGCCTTGAAGATGGCCATGGCGGGGAAGATGTAGGCCTGGAATAAAGATGTGCAATCACTGCTCACTGAAGGCAGCACTCCTGGTCCCCGCCACACATCCGTGCCCCCCTGAAGGCGAGGGCAGAGCAGCCAGGCCATGACACAAGCCCTCAGCACCACGTGGGCAAAGCACTCACCAGCAGGATCTCGATGGTGCCCAGGATGTACATGGCACCGGCAAAGGTGGTGCCCAGGTAGAAGCAGAGCCCCACAGCCCCACCAAACTCAGGGCCCAGGGAGCGTGAGATCATGTAGTAGGAGCCGCCCGCTGTTGGAGAGAGCAAAGGTTGGTCCCAGACAGCCCCCAGCAGGCACCCCCGCTCCTCCCAGTGCCCCGAATGGGGTCAGGACCCCCAGCACCCTGCTCCAGCCGGCAGCAGCTCAGCCTCACACAGCTGAGCTGGCAGAGCTGTTCCCAGGAGCCGGGCAGCTGGGCATGACGGCCACAGGGACACCTGTCCCCTGCGAAGCCACACAGGCACTGCAGCCCCAGGGACACGGGCCATGCCCTGCTCCTTCCTCCCAGAGGAGCCCTTAGAGACAGGCGGCAGCGATCGATGGCCCTGCGGCCGGCGGCAGGATGATAAATAGCATTAATTACACCCTGTGCCGGTTTGCCAGCACTGTGCTGAGCCCCGGGAGCGGCGGGGAAGGCACCGCTTCGGCTCTGTGGAGCTGAACAGATGCTCAGGGGGCAGCCCCGGGCACCGCAGTGCTCAGCCCCCAGCAGCAGGTCCCCGCACCCCGGCACCCATCCTCCCCCTGCTCCTCGCCCGGCTCTGTTCGGGGAAGAGGATCCCCCGCGGCCGCCCCAGTCTGGCAGGAGGAGCTGTGTCTGACGGCTCCCGCTGCCATCTGCACCTCACAGCTCTGGGGATGGGGTGGAGGCTCCAGCTCCGTGCTCACCCCCGGAGAACCCTCTCAGGGCTGGTGGCAGAGGGCCGGGACATGGCTGGCAGTGACAGCTGCCATCCCCTGCACGGCACGGGGGAGCCCAGGGTCTGGCACAGCACATTTGGGGCACAAAACCTGGCAGGAGCCCACCCCCAAGGAGCCAGCTCCCCAAGCCCCAAGTACACACAGGCACAGCTTCAGGTCTACCTGGCACCACGCCGTTGGTGGCAATTGCACTCATGGAAATAGCTGTAAGCATCGTCTGCAGGAGGAAACACAGTGTCAGCATCGGGCAGAGTCTCATCCCAGCTCAGGCACAAGACAGGAGAGGGACCGGAGAGCAGAGGCCATGGGGCAGCACCAGGACTTGTCACAGGGTTGGGACAGGAAGACTGGGACATGGCACTGGGCTGGGACACTGCGATGCTGTCTGTGGGGGCTGAGCAGCTCAGAGGGTACACGGGCAATGGGGTCTCTGCCCACCCACATCCCTCCTACCCATGCTGCAGGGCAATGACCCAGCAGGGCAGCCGGCTCCCAGGCACAGGGGTCTCAGGCAGCGGGCACCAACACCACATCCCACCCACACCCAGGTGCAATCTGGGTCACGGTTTGAACACTGCTCCACTCCCAGTTCCTCCGCGAAGCTGGGTGGTTTCTCCTTGCTAAGTGGAGCAGGAGCACCTGAGCTTGCTGAGCAGCAGTGAGTGTTGGCACAGGGCACAAAGCACAGCATGCAGGGGGGCAGACACTCCTGGCCCAGGAGGAGCCCCCAGGATGAGGCTGAGGGGTGGGGGTTGGAGACACTCACACAGGAGCAGCAAAGGAAGACCATGCAGAAAGATTCCATGATGCCAGCGATCCCCACCACCCAGGTGAGGCGCAGGAACAGGATGACCCCAAAGATGTTCTGCAGGCAGGGCAGGTAGACGCCCATGAAGGTGCCCATCCGTGGAGCCTGTGGAGGAAGCAAAGAGCCATCAGAGCTCAGTGTGCATCTCTCATTCGTACACACTGTTGCTGGCCAGAGGGACAGGAGGCGGCTCGGCCATGAGCACCCTGCACACTTTGCAGTCGGGTGAGAGCGGGCAGGGGGACAGTGGTCCCACTGCTGTACAGCCCTCATGGGGACTGGAGCAGAGAGGGACGTCAGGGCAGCAGTGCCTGCAGGGACCTGGTGCCCTGAGACAGGGCACAGCTTGGGCTGAAGGGGATGGGAGGAAGGAGCAGTGACTGCCCCGCAACCTCTCACCTGCACTGGCTTCTTCTTGCCCCCATCATTGTTCTCAGCTTCCTCATGCTCCCGGCTGCCCTGCGGCAGGTTGGTGTAGTTGGCCAACCCGCTCAGCAGTGATGAGACCATCGGGCTGGTGTCCATCTCCTCCTGCAAAGCACAGCACCCGAGAGCTGAGGTCCCACACCAGCCCTGCCCGGCACCCGGAGCACGGCACTGCGCTGCTCACAGCAGAACAACCGCTGTGCTGTGCTGTATTCTGCAGGCTGCACGCCCCTGGCCCGTGACCACTGCTGGCCCTGCAGTGGGAGATCCTGCATGGGCTCTGCAGTGTCCCTCTCCCCATGGCCCCCTCCCCAGGTCCCATACGGCCCTGGCCCAGCCGCCTGCATGCCCTACCTCGAAGAGGGCCATGTTCTTGCCATCGTACTCTTTTCCCTTCTCCAGGTCTGTGCTGTTGATGAAGGGACTGCTCTCCTTGGGATTGCCATCGCCTGCAGGATAGGATGGGGGGGTGAACTGGTGTCGCCCATCCCTTCACAGTCCCCAGAGGAGCCACCCCCCTCTCAGAGCAGCACAGCACTGACCATCTGGGCTCACCAGAGTGCATCCGCAGTGCCAGCACCAGGCAGAGTGACTGGTGTGGATCCAGGGGGAACCGGGCAACCCGGCATCCCACAGCACCTCACAGCGCTGATCCCCGATGCAGCCCACAGGGGGGTTAAAAGCCGGCACTGAGAGCTGTCCCACAGCACGACCCAAAGCCTGCAGAGCCTGCTGCTCCACCAGGATGGGGCTGCCGTGCTGCATAATGACCTCGCGCAGAAGACGCCCAGAGTCGAGCTTAATAGCAAAGAAAGCAGCAGAGAGCTGCAGAGCAGCAGAAATAAATCAGGCTGGAAATAAAGCGGCAGCTAGCATGGATGCCATTTGAGTGGCGCATTTCTCAGCACCGAGGCAGAGCCACCGAACAGTGAAGGGAGAGGCCGGGCTGGGTGGGCAGCGTGTGGGGCCAGGAAATGCCCACGAACCAAACGGAGCAGCGCATGGTGTGAGTGCACCCATGCTGCACAGGAACCAGGGCAGAACAGCAGCAGGGCCGGGCAAGCTCTGTGCATGGAGCATCCCAGAGCTGCTCTGTGCCCACAGGAGTTGTGTTCTCTGCTGGCACTGAACACAGAGCCCAGGAAGGCCCGGAGCTGTGGGGCGGTGCATGGGCTGCCACGAGCCGGGGTGATGCAGCCACCCCCATGGCAGCAGCAGCCCAGGACAAACCCAGCACAGCGTTGCTTTGAAGGCTGTCTGCTTCCCAACAGTTGACTCATTTTTGGGTTCGGTGGAGCAAGTTCTCCTGCATGTGGCTGTGATTCACCACCTGCAGCCCCTCCTGGCTGGCTGGGGGGCAAAACCCCCAACACCACAGTGATGCTGACCCACATGCTCCTACTGCCCCCCCACACACAGCCAACAGAAGGGCAGGAGATGCGGTCCGCCTGGTGTCACACCACAGAGTGCAGCCCCCACCCACTGCCCAGGCACTGCTATGGGGCTGTCAGTGCGGGGCAGTGCTCCTGCCCAGCTAGTCCTGCCAAAAGCATTGTGCAAAGTGAACATTACATAAGAGCCTCGTGCACAGGCGGACACCCTCCCAGCTCCCACCACCTCAAACCACAGCCTGGGCCCCGGGGAGCATGGAAATGCTATAAACAAAATGCAAACAGGGACACTTCCACCGGCCATGGGACCCCAACCTCAGAATGGGCCCGTGGTGGTTGGGGGCTGGGGTTTTCCATGCTCTCCTCTCCAAGGTGCACACAGCCCCACTGCAGGGGTACACATGGGGGACATGCGGAGGGACACAAGGGGACACACGGGGGCACCAGGGTGAGAGTGGGCAGCCCAGAGGGCCCTCGGGACCCCCACAGTGTGAGCAGAGCCGCGGGGCCTCGCCTCACCGCCTGGTACCCTGTCGACGACATCACCACGCTGGTTTCTATGGTAACAGCGAGCCACGGCTGCCTCTGCTCCCGCTCTTATGTAACAGCACAGCCGGACAGGCGCCGGACCCCACGGCACCGCACGGCACCACACGGCACCCCGGCACCAAGCCGCAGCCCGCCAGCATCCTGCAGGCACACAGCCAGGCCCTGTGACCCCACATCGCCACAGCCCCATGGGGCCAACACTGCCCGGCTCGTGGTGGTGGAGCACAGCTGCACCACGGGGCACCCGCACTGCCCTGCTGCCCCGACCTGCCAGCACCAAGACTCTGCACCCCAAGACCTCGCTGGTTGCCCCTCCCACCCTTCAGCCCCATCCCAGTGCAATGACAGCACCAGAGCCGAGCCCTGAGCCCAGGCTCTGAGGTTCAAGCTCCTGCTGCCCCATACAGCCCAGTGCCCCCATTGTGGGCAGTCCACAGCTGTCCCCCACAGCATCACGCGGGCCCCACGCTGGCTGCATTCTGGCTGCCAGGAGCCCCTCAACCAGCACTACAAACACAGGGAGAGGCCCAGAGTGGCTAAGGGAAGTGGGGAGCACAGGGATGCTCAGCTTTGCTGTCCCCAGGGCACAGCCCAGGCCCCCCTCCCTTTCTCTGCAGTCTGGAAGGAGTTAAGTGCCACAGCTGCGGGGTCCCAGGTGACAGCTATGCTCCCCGCTCCTGCCGGAGACCATTTTGCCGCAGAGGGGCTGGTGCAGCCTCTTCCAGGCAGCTGTCAGAGGATTTGTGGTCTGTGCAGAGCCAGGCAGGGGCACAGCAGCCCGTCCTGGGCAGAGCCGCCCCGTAGCCCAGCACCAACCACCGCAGCCCGACCCTGCCTGAGGCACGGACCGTGGCACCTCCTGGACACTGCGGGCTGCCAGGTGACCCTGAAGCCCATGGGCCCGACACGGCCCCCATCACCCCAGCACTGCCCGGGGCCACGCAGCAGCGGAGCAGAGCCGAGCCGTGCCAGGCTTCGATCCCGGCGCCGAGCCGCCCCCCTCCCCAGGGATCACTCAACATGAATCGGCCTTTTAATTTGCTGCGGCGGCTGGAAGGGCTCGCGGCTGGGTTGCTGGCAGGGAACCACGGCCCCGGCGTGGCGACCACGTAATGCTGCTCGCTGCAGGGCTTACCGCCTGCCCTGCGTGTTGGGGACACCCCAGCATCCAGCCCACACCCTGCTGGGGACCCGGAGCTGTGGGACCGTCCCTGCACGCCCGCAGCCATCCCACGGGGCAGCACCAGGCAGGGCTGCGGCACCCACCATGATGTGATCTTCTCACGGCTTCTTATTCAGCCCTCAGTTGTGTCGGGAAGCATCATGTCCCTTATCCCAAATCCTCCCTAATCGTTTTACACAGCGCAGGGACTGAGCACTAACGAGGGAGTGGGAGCAGGGGGGGGGTGGGGGGGGGGGCAGGCAGCCAAACCCTGAGGGCTAATTTAGCAGAGCTGCTGTCAGGGCTGCAGCCAGCCTGTCCCCCTGTGGCACCCTGCCAGCATGTCCAGCCCTGGGGTGGGGGCTGCAGCCCCTGGATAGGAGGAAGCAGCAGGCAAGAGGGGGATGCCGAAGGGGCAGTCCCAGCCCCATGCCACCACTTGCCCCTGGGTTTGTGCTACTGCAGTAAGCGGCACCACAGGGCCCAGCTGGATGCTGCCCCCAGCCCAGCTCCAGCTGGCTTCTCCTCCTGCACTGCCCCTCTGCAGGGTTGGCACTGCACTTCCCCTACCCCTGCTTTGGTGCCAGACAGTGTCACTGGGACCTATGCCTGCAGGAGACACTTCCAGCCCTGCACTGTCACAGCCCCCAGCCCCAGGAGCAGGGGGTGATGCCTGCCCGCTTTGCGCATGCTGCCCGGGCCGTGGGGCTGTGCTGGAGCTCCTCCCCAGGAGCACAGGGCACCTTGACTTTTGCCAGAGAGTTCGCTGGCACTGGCTGGCAGCAGCCTGCTCCAGCTCCCTGGGACTCTGCCCAGGGCTGTCTGCAAGGAGCAGCCCCCAGGTCACGCCAGCACTTCTGTTCATCCCTGTGGGCCGGCAAGCACATGGGCAAGCACGTGTCCTGCAGCTGATGGCCCCAGCTGCTGCCATGTCGCAGGAGCTCCTGCCCGGGGGCGGCCACAGCGCTGTTCTGTCCCCCTCTGGCCATCCAGGGCACTCGGCCATGCATGCACTGGTCCTGGCTCTGACCCGCAGCCCTGGGGTGCTGCAAGGTCCCGCAGTGCCAGGATCGCTGCAGCACAGGAGGGATGCAGTGCCCACCCCCCCCCCTGCCCTGGTGACACTGCCCCTGCAGCTGGCCAGCGCGCTGAGCGGCCGTTTGGGGTGGATTCTTTCACTGCCTGACCCAAATTAGACCAACTGCTACTTCAGACCTATCCTCTTCCTTCCTAAACCCAGGATTATCCTCTCTTTGATCAGCCGGCCCTGCAGGCTCAGGATTTCCAGCACAGGCGTTTTGGCTGGCTGCATTTAAACAGCTTCCCAGATTCTCCCATAGCCTGAGCCCTGCCATGGGAATGGCCACACAACGATGCTATAGCCAAGCTCCCCATCCCAATTCTCCTCTCCTCGGACATCCAGGGGCCTCCAGCCCAGAGCACAGGCACCTGCAGCAGGGCTGCATCTGACATGCCCATGCCCAAAGCAGAGTGATGCACACAGTCAGCCCTATGTCACGCTGCAGCCCTGCTTGCTGCCCTGCTCCTGTCCCCTCCCCAGGGCTGCTCCTGGCCCTGCTCTCGCTGGGCTGTCAGCGCTGGATGCCATCCAGCCCTTGTCACCAATGTGCTCTCTCAGGCTGCCCAGAACAGGCACCTGCAGAGGGGCTGCTGTCTGGCCTTGGGACACAAATGGCAAAAGTGGAGGACCAGGGCTTCTGCAGCACCTTGTCTGCTTGTCTCAGCAGTCACCACGGCACCTGAAAGAACCGGAGGTGTCCCTGCTGGCAAGCATCAGCTCTGCCACCCTGAGATGGGACATCACCATCCCTAGACAGACCTGGGCAGGGAATGCTGCGGGGCCCCTGGCAAGGCGCAGGAGAAGCACAGCCCCCGCAGCAACCGCCAGAGTCCTCCACCCCCACCATCCCTATTACAGGTGCGGGGGGTGAGGGCCCTGCAGTGCCTCTCCCCTGCACCCTCCTCTGCTCTCCAGCCCCACAGAGCCACACACCTCCTCCAGCCCCGCATCCGCAGCCCCACAAGAACCACCTAGCTTGGCTCAGCTCCAGGGACAGTTTGCATGGCCCATCTGTAGCAGCACCACGTCCAACCTCACAGCCAGACCCCAGAAATGCACCCTGTGAGCAAGAAGGCAGACACACCTGCTTCCATGCAGCCCAGCATTGCTACAATGGAGACGCAATGAACAACACAGCCCCTGCTGCTGCATAGGGCAAAGGGTCAGAGGCAGGGAAGGGTTTGGCCAATGGGGCAGCGCAGCTCCACCTGGCTAGGCAAGGTGACCCCGAAAACTCCTGCCATCCCTGATCTTGAGTGCAGCCGTGGATAAACAAGCAGATAAACAAGGGTCAGGCTGTGGAGC